GCCTTCGAGACATGTTTGCCCGTTGGTCTGGCCCTTATGTTTTCAAAAGAAATATGGAGGGGCTTGTTATGCAAATAGCAAGAGTTAAAAAAAAAAAAAAAGCTCAAAAATTTGAGAAACCTATAATATTTAGGGAAAAACAAGTGATAAAAATTATTGAATAAATCAATTTATATCACCATAGCCAGCAATATTTTTTAAAATATATAAAAATTATTTATGTCAAATATTTTATAGGATCTAGAGTGCTAGAGTTTATTCATTTCCAATTAGTCAATTTTCATGGATTTTCTTCATATTTTAAATTAATATTATCCATAATTAATAGAGATCATATCAATTTAAATAGCGGTGAGGCCTTAATTCATTGTCCAATGAAGTTGTGATGCACTTTAATGCATTGGACAATAAATCAAGGTTCATTGCCATATATGCTGATGACGATCTCTAATGGATAGCATTATTAACAAAAGGTGCTAATCCGTGATATTACTTTGATGGCATGTTCGATGTAAAGTATGAAGGATAGTATAATAAATAAAATTTTAAATTCACCACGTAATCCCCGTAATGACCATAATTACTAATAAGATACTAGTCATTATGTTAAATGAAAGCATACATGTTGGAACCCGAAACATGGTGAACTATGCATAAGAGGGACGAAGCAATAGTGAACTCTAGCGGAGGCATGCAACTATACTGACGTGCACATCGTTAGTCTAACTTGGATATTGGAGTGAAGGACCAACTAAACCACCTAGTGGCTGGTTTATATATTGATTCTAATGTTTTGATTTTTAAGTTAATATTGACATTCTTTATCAAATATTAATAGTTGTATAATTTTCCTGGAAACTACTCACAGGTGAGGAATGCAGTAGACCATGTAAACATGGGTACAGATGCTCTCCATACTGCTAAAAGCTTGCAGAAAAAATCAAGAAAATGCATGATGATTTCCATTATATTGCTTTTGGTTATTGCAATCATAATTGTACTGTCTGTTCTTAAGCCATGGAGCAAATAATTATCAACAGAAATCCTTTAGACGATGTTTTTCAACATATCATCACGGTAGACAAGTTTCTCAGATTTGAAACTCATTCTCATTCATTTGTAAGTTTGTTTATGTTTGATGAAAAAATAAATCGGGCTTGAGACGAGGTGCTTCAACACTTATATTGTTGCTGTAAACATGAACCAACAAAATGGAATTTTGATACTAGTATTTTCTTGATAACAGCTTCACATAGCAAGAAACAAGAATAGTAGAACTCGGGCCAAAACATGCTCCAGAATTTCCCAATCAATAATGGTATTATTCTACACCATGGAACAAATTTATTTTACTTAATTTCACCAATTGAAACCAAAGAAACTTCTCAAGCTTCATGTTTCTTACATTCTGGCATTGAAACTAAAGAAACTTCTCAAGCTTCATGTTTCTTACATTCTGGCATTTGCAATCACGACGCTGCCATCAGTCATTCCCGGCCTCGTCCATGTCTCTTGAAACTGTTCTTCAGTCACCCCTGCAAAACCAAATAATCCCAAATTTACATTATATAACAGAATATCTGATACAAAATCTTGAGAGAATGTAATTTGCCTTTGCCCATAGTAGCAGTTGAAGTGATTCCTCCCTGGACAGTCCTCTGAACTCTGTCATAACAATTTGCACCAGACCATTTCTGATGAGTCAATGTGTCAACTCCATGTTTCCTCTTCTCCCTCTGGACTTTCTCAACGTATGCAAACATTCCCCGTCGTGTAAAATCTTTAGCAAATGTGTCGATAATGAGGGCGTCAGCATGAAATCATGCTGGAGTAATAAACTGCCAACAATAGCCTAGTTTGGCGATCCTTGGGATGAAATCTATCATCTGCTGATCGTCCATTCCAGACGTGTCCCAATTGAAAGAGGGAGAGAGATTGCTGTTGGTAAATTCAATTGGTAGTGTATAGAGTGAAATCGGGTTCTCATATACCGTCTATGTGATTTAGACACCGGATTCATGTTTACCGTATTTGGCAATTGCTTACNTATAGAGTGAAATCGGGTTCTCATATACCGTCTATGTGATTTAGACACCGGATTCATGTTTACCGTATTTGGCAATTGCTTACCGTATTTGGCAGTTCAATTCACCGTAGATGAAAGCTTACCGTATATGCCAAGCAGCTCATTGTATTTGGCAGCTTACCGTATATGCCAGACAGCTTACCGTATTTGCAACTTACCGTATATGCTACTTACTGTATTTGCAGAAAGCTCACCGTATATGGCAGCTTACTGTATTTGCAGGCAAAGCTCACCGTATTGCATAAAGTGTTTTTATTCATACACTAACTAAAATAACACAAATTTTTTTTCACTTACAAATAGAAATACCGTATATGTGAAATCTATTTTTCATACATATAACGAATTGAAAAAAAAAAGGTATATTTTTTGTTTAAGAAATCTATTTCTAACATAAATTTAACAAACAATATATGAGATGTGTAAATTGCTAAATAACTAAATCTGCAGGAATAAAATATAAATTAAATAAATAGAAGATAAATTTTCAACCCGAGGCTTGTGCGAACACCATTTCCTTAAAACAGAATTGCTCTATCTCCGTTAGTGCTTGAGGTCTAGTCCGAGCGTCTATTTTCCAAGATACAACAGCAAAATCAACAGAATTTGAGCACTACAGAAACTACTCCGGCGAATCTATTTAGCGTCTGAACAGTATCACCACCACGACGACTTCACTGGACAGAAAGAAGACTACAATGGAATCTGGGAATTTTCGTGCAGAGAGAATTTCATGTGTTTTCCTGTTGAGATTTTTCATATGTTTTATTGTTGGAAAACTTGAGATTTAATATTGTATAAATCTGTCATTAACTATGACAATTAACATTGGAGGCACTTCAATTTTTGGGAGTTTTGGAAGTTTCGGAAGCTTAAAAGTAAGTGGTGAAAGCAAAAAAAAAATAATTGCAAAACGTGGACTCTCTGAATGGACCTACGCAGGTCGAGCCCGCACACAAGTTCAATGTCCAAAGAAATTTCGGTACGAGATTTGCAACCCCTGCGCGCGCACGTGGAGAGAGCCTCTATGTTACACATGATTACACCTTTCCAATGTGCACCATATTTAAAGTGGTTCTTGCTTTTATATTTTTCCTAGTGGGTGCTGGATTAGTTGAGCGGAGAATTGGAGATCTGGAACCTCGGACAAGAACCTGAGGCATGAGTTACGGAAGTCCGTGTGCTGTTGGTCATCGAAATGTTCAAGGACTGATTTCATGTAACGCAAATTACTTTTTTGCGAGATGTGGGCCCTCAGTCGTGCATCGTTCGGAACTAGAAACTCGAAATCCATGTGTCATGCGACATAACCAAAAATGGAAATGTCGGATCATAATTTTTCAAACATACATGAGACGTCCAGATGAAAATAATTGAACCACATATGGACCAGCAAGGTACGACGACGAATCAATCAACAAATTGTGAGATTGTAGCATTTCATACATGTTAATGCGAAACACAAGTGCATTATTGGAACCAAAGTTCAACTTCTTGATCGACAGTTAGCTTAGGTGATCGCCACGTAACCATCTTCCAATGGTCATCTTTGAGCTCCAATTTCTCATTCATCCATTCATTAATTTTGGCAAATAAATATATGGTTTCGATACTCTCACGGAGGAGAACAAGGATCAACTTCGATCTTCCAAATTGGACCAACGGGTCCCATCAAAATTTTGCCAAAAGTGAACCATTTACTCATTTTTTTCTAACAATCCCCCACATGAATGAAAATTGAGAGAGACATGAGACCGTGAGACACGAAACTTGGTGACCGTGAGACATAAGATTAGGTGATAAAGTTCAACGGTTGAAGCCTGCATAGGATAGGTAGGTATTACCCTTTGAACCTTCTTGTGAAAGCATATTTACTTTACTGGCTGACCAGTAGGCATGTTGTCCTTGAACTGTTCTACCGTTTATGTAAACGATGATATACTCCACATAGGATTTTTCCTAACACAATTCAGTTCTCATTATTATGTTCGTTTTAACCATGAACATATGCTTGATTCTGAGAGTTCTTAAGAATTGAACCCCACACAATTCTCTTAGAAGCGGCCCGGCCCCACTTCTCTCTCACATATGTGATTTCTTATTACAAGTAATCCGCATTAGGCTCGAACTTCAACGCATAAGAATCATTAAAAGCCTATTGCTTATCCTTCATCCTCATGGACATCACTGTTACATCATAGGAATGGATAGGAGGAAACACCCCACAGTGATTTTATTAAGCCTTTACAATTAGGTTGTCCCTTTAAACCTAGATCTTGGAATCTCTAGTCAACTAGGTTGTATTTTCTTTGCAATGACTTATTCATTCAAGGGCTTAAGTCTCATTCCTTTCGATGACTTTCCAACTAACTCTCTATTTAACCATTTAGTTAGCGGATCCGCAATGTTATCTTTTGACCTTATATAGTCAATAGTGATAACTCCAGTTGAGAGTAGTTGTCTTGTGGTATTGTATCTACGACGTATATGTCTAAACTTACCATTGTACATGTTACTCTGTGCCTTTCCTATTGCTGATTGACTGTCACAATATATGCAAATTGCTAGCAAAAGTTTTGACCATCTTGAAATATCCTCTAAGAAGTTGCGCAACCATTCGGCCTCTTCACCACATTTATCTAAAGCTATAAACTCAGATTCCATCGTAGATCTGGCGATAACTGTTTGCTTAGATGATTTTCACGATATGACAACACCTCCCAACGTGAACACAAATCGACTGGTGGATTTTGGATCTTTTATATTAGATATCCAATTAGTATCACTGTATCCTTTAATGACCGTTGGATATCTGGTATAATGTAGTCCATAGTCACGAGTATATCTTAAGTACCTTAGTACTCTCATTATTCCTTTCCAGTGATCAGCTCTTGGATTACTCATGTATCTGCTCAGTTTACTGACTGTGTAGGCTATGTCTGGTCTTGTACAACTCATCAAGTACATTAAACTTTCAATAACTCTCGAGTATTCCACTTGAAAGACACTTTCACCTTTGTTTTTAGATAAATGTTGACTTGTATCTATCGGTGTTCTAGCCAAGTCAATATCATCCTTATTGAATTTTTTCAAAATTTTGTCTACATAATGTGACTGACTTAGAATAAGTCCATCTGATATTCTTGAGATTTTGACTCCAAGTATAACATCAGCTAAACCCATATCTTTAATGTCAAATCTCGAATTCAACATATTTTTTAGTGGATTCAATCATCTTATTGTCACTGCCGACAATAAGCACGTCGTCAACGTAAAGATATAAAATGACATAACCATCTTTAGTATTTTTTACGTAAACACATTTGTCACACTAATTGATTTTAAATTCACTCTCTATCATGACATTATCAAAATTTTCATGTCATTGTTTGGGTGCTTGTTTCAAACCATATAGTGACTTCACCAATTTATAAACTTTTTTTTCTTGCCCTGGTGACAAAAATCCCTTGGATGATTCCATATAAATTTATTCTTCTAAATCTCCATTTAGAAATGCAGTTTTAACATCCATTTGATGTACTTCAAGATTTCGCAAAATGACAATTGCAAGTATCAACCTAATAGATGTTATTCTCGTCACTAGAGAATATATATCAAAGTAATCAAGGTCTTCCCTTTGTTTGTAACCTTTTATTACTAATCTGGCCTTATATTTTTTGATAATTCCATCTGCTCTCATTTTCCTTTTGAAAATCCATTTATAGCCTAGTAGTTTGCTTCTTGGAGGAAGATCCACTAACACCCATGTATGATTTTACAGTATGAAATCTGTCTCACTTTTAATGACCTCCTTCCATTGAGGTCCCTCTGAGGAATTCACAGCCTCTTGATAACTTTGAGGTTCACTTTCTAGCATATAGGTCAGAAAATCAGGACCATACGATTTTTTTGTCCTTTCCCGTTTGTTACGTCTAACCTCAGTCTCCTCTTCTAGTTCTTTATCATGATTATTTTCAGTCATAGTCTCCTATGTTCGTTTGGAGGAGCTTGCATTCTCTTTGAACTTGTATGGAAATACATGTTCAAAGAATAAAGCATTTCTTGATTTCAATATCGTGTTTTTGTGTATGTCTAGGATTTCAGAGTCATACACAAGAAATCGATAAGCACTACTATTGTGTGCATAGCCAATGAAGATACAATCTACTGTCTTTAGCCCTATCCTTACCTTTTTTGGTGTTGGAACGGTCACTTTGGCAAGACACCCCCACACTCGTAAGTATTTATAGGAAAACTTTATTCCTTTCCATAACTCATAAGGGGTATTTTCCATTTTCTTTCGAGGTACCTTATTTAAAAGATAATTTACTGATAGCACAGCTTCCCTCCACATGTTCTGAGGTAACCCAGAACTTACTAGCATTGCATTCATCATTTCCTTTAAAGTACAATTTTTTCGTTTAGCAACACCGTTTTGTTGTGGGGAATAAGGTACGGTGGTTTCATGTATAATTTCGTATTGTGCACATAATTTCGCAAATGGTGATT